CAGACAGGGGATTCGAAGTAAAGATATTAATACTGCACAACAAAAGCATCAAATATAGATAATGGAAGGCACTCACTGGTACGCAAACGTGTTCCATGTTGCTCATTTCTCCCTCGGTGTTCTCTCGAATGATGAAGAAGTCCAGATTTTTGTGGCGCAGGAAATCCAGTCCAGGGAGCGTTTCTATCGTCACAACGTTTGCGTACAAGTCCAAGTCTTTCCGGAGACGAATACTAAGCGATCCGAGTTCGCTGAAGTATTTTTGGTCGGGTATCATCAGCTTCCCCATAATGCAAACTCCGTTCCGAGCAATGGAAGTCATCACGTTTTCCGCCTTCGCGCTCATCGTGTGATGCAGTTCCGAGAAAATAAATTCTTCGAATTCTATCGGAACTGCTAATGCCTACAAGGGAGGTTTAAAAATAACGCGCATTTTCTCGGCAATGCTGTACTTCTGCGGCACTGGTATTGTTTTCAACGGGGAGTCATGCACGGACGACATCTACACGACGGCCCTTAAATATTCGAGAAGAGGATTAAGCATATAAACTGCTCCATTGTTATCTGGTACTGATGTTTAGTCTTTCGTCCTGAAGATGTCGCCTGTGCATGTCTTCCTGGCGCGGATTCCGAAAGGAAAATCGTCCACTGACTCATAATTGGCGCATTAAAAAAAACCAACCTCGAACACACGGTAAACAGCATCCATCATTTCCGGCCCAATGCCATCCCCTGCGATCACGGTACATTTCCTGAGCTTATTCGTCTGAATTTCGGGTTTCTCGTCTTTACCCTAAAAACGCAATCGCAGTTTTTCTCTTTTTGTCAAGAAAATCCATCTCAAATTATACTGTGCATGGATTCGCAACTCACTATTTTATGAGAAAACACGTCATAACGCCCAGAACTTCCAGAATTTCTCACTGAAGTCCGTAAGATGTTGGTCCACGTTGGATTGAATAAAATGCGCTTGAGCGAACCTAACGCAGTCATGCTCGATTTCTTACGGTTAATGCGTGGAACACAGACAAGTTAATCAATGAATTGAAAAGGATGCTCCGGGAATTATACATATTTTCTTCTCGCAATCATTGAACAGGATTTGTCAGCCAAAATCAAGAACATCGAAGGTCGTCACTCGTCAGCTTTCCAACACGGATTTTCTCTTTTGAGGAGTCGAAGAGGTATTCACGATCTCATATTTAGTTCCGTTCGAAGAATCCTTCAAAAAATAAAAGAAATTCATTACAAGTAAATATACTGTAAGTTAAAATCAATTGAGTCATTTCTCCTGTATAATAACATTTTGATAAAACCTTGACTGGGCTTCAATAAGCAGCAGTGTAAATATTTCATCAAAATCTTTAATCAGATGACGAACTGTGATGAACTCACAGAACTTATTACTTTACACACTATCGAAATTCCTTCATTAGTTCGAGAAAATTATAAAAAGTTTGATGTTCAAGCATAATTTGTCTCGCCATGGCGTTCTAACGAAAGTTTAAAATCGCACTACGCTCACCTTTGAGTAAAATAAAACGAATTTGCTTGAATCGCTTAGATTATTTCATTTTTTTTGGAAAGGCGTTCTTATTCAAGTTACAAAACTTAGCAATGAGATCTCAGACGATGCTCAGTTCAGCAGTTACATGGAATTCTTTTTTGAAGCATGAAACAATGTTCAGCAGGAAAAAACATAAAACATATCACGCACCAACCATAGGAGAACACAATTTTTAAAAATTTCCTTTTTTTTGTACGCTGTATATACATATTATAGTTACTTAATGACGAGGTAAGTACGAATGTAAGGAGGCATACATACTTTTAGCAATATGCCCACATCCGCGAGATCTTTCCTTAAATCGTCACAGGATACAAGTAAGGATTTTCTTCCGCTTCTCTTTCGGAAAATTATGTCCATCGCCGTGGACCAAGGCATATTCTCTCACTTGCATTCTGAATTTCAGCAAAGAATTCAGCAGAGATTCCACAGTCACAGCCTCATTTGTCGAAGATACTGAGGAGATCTAAAAACATTACAAATTATTCATCATGCGTAAAAAAAAAAATGTTCCTGCCAGGCGTTCAAGAAATCTACGCGTCAGCGACATCTACAAGAGGCTAGACCAAATCGTCATTGAAACCGTGCATGTTATCAACATATTTTGCATAGGTGTCGCCTACGCATAGACCTGATGAACTACAGGAAGCGCTAGAAGTTGCTTACCTGGTTTGAAATCTGAAAACCAAAGCCATTCAACGTTTTCTTAAATAAATCAGCGACTGCTCCGACTACGACCACAGGGTTAGAAGATGGGGCCTGAAGAGGATACATTTCAGATTTTCAACCTTTTTCTTAATTTAAATAACACAATTAAATTCCAAAATTACCTCATGTTCCTGATGCATTTTTCCACCCATCACGAAAATCACCTGAGTCTGCTTCATCAAATCCTCCAAACAACGAATCACTCCCGCAGTTTTGAAATCATTTTTCAGGTGACCAACAATCTTCTCTTTCACCACAGTCAATTCCTATGTTATAAAAAGCGTCCTTTTGAACGAATACAAGGATCATAATTCAAAGAGGCCTTTACACTGAAAATATTATCAACGACTGGTTTGGGAGTCAACCTCAGTGGACCACAATCCGACACGAACTCGTCGCATTCCTTCATAAAGCGGTTGAATTTGGCTAAAACTGTTCCAGCCAAGGCCAACGTTTCTTCCGAGTAATCGATTTCTTGGAGAAAAGGCCAAGTATAAGATTCAGGATTTCAACTGGCATTCTGATTTTCTTTTTTTTTTTTCAGCGTGACTAACTGCTTCGGTAGTGCGACATCATGCACATCATTCTGAACTGATCCGCTGAATGATTCTCCAATAATCTTCTAACGGTGGTGAAGTTCTTCAAGCTCTTCGACATTTTTTCTCCTTTAACGTTCAACTGACCTGTCGGATTCATTCAGGATTTCAGTCACTTTTCCAATCAGAGGAAGAAATCAAAGAATACACGCGGAACACTTTGTCAAAAATCTAAAAGACGCTCTAAAAGACGCATGCCTGATGGAAAACGAGCGCTAAGTTTACAGTTGAGCATACTTGAAAAAAATTTAGGAAATTCAAGAGTACATATATTCAATTTTTCAGAAAAACAATACCTGTATGAATCCAATGTCCGACCCATTGGTGGTTACCGTGAAAAGCACAAGACTGAGCTTCTTCATTCTCGTGGTGAGGAAAAATGAGATCCGTCCCTCCGCTGTGTATGTCCACCCAGTCTCCAAAAACTTGACTAAAGTGAACGTGAAATAGGGAAATCCATCTTCAATTAATGGATTTTACATTTGAAGCATCAAATTTAGTACTTCCCCAAAAACATAAACAAAAATATCGTAATTGAAGAAGCCTCAGCAATATTTTCTGACACAAAACTGAACATTAGTCCCATATTTTCGATGCGATGTGGAGAAAAAATTCCAATGTATAATAAAATCTTTTAACAAACAAACTCACGGTCACCTGTGAAAAATCGGTTATAATGAGACCACGGATTTTTATCACATTTATAGAAAAAAATGGTGCGGGAAAAACCATTTCAAATGTTCACGAGTGCTTTCACGGCAAACATATTAGGACTTCAAACTCGGTTTGATTAATTACAGAAAAAATTTCGTTAGAATTAATCTCGTTACAACGAATAAACGATCACAACGAAATAGTTCTTTGGGTCCCAGCCAAATCGCCACAATATTGAATAATTTACTTTATAACGATTTTTTTTTCAGATCGATCTCAATGGCTTCATTCTTTAATGCATTACAAGATTTTACTGCATTAGGGAAAAATTAAAATACATCTCTAATTTAATCCTACACTGCTTCAAATTTCCCAAGAATGAACTGATCTTACAAAAATACAGATTGAAAAATATGAATAAATTTAAAGAGTTACTCTTATATTTTCACAACTGTATGTTCCTTAAAAAAGGGAAATGTTATTTTAAACATACCTTTTTATTTGAAAGAATATTTCTGCATATTTCTGGTTACTCTAGATTTCCTGTAAAAAAAAATCTGGGATTTTTCTTATTATCTATATTAACTTGGAATGTTGCAGGATGTACAGTAATTGCATTTTCCATTTTTTCTCCTAATAATACGAATTTTTATTCTCCTAATAATAATAATAATAACAATAATAATACAGGAGTTACTAAGGTCTTCAAAAAAATGGAGGGGCAAGCAATTAGTTATACATACTAATATTACAAGTAAAAACAAGTTTTTAGAACAGGATTTTTATAACATAGTTCCCATGAGAAAACTGCTGGAACCCTTGAAAAATCTTCAAATCAAGATTTGCTGCAATGGAATTTTACTGTATACGTACAAAACCTACCTTGTTCATTGCATATTTATAAGCCATTCACAAATTTTAGAAACAATATTTAATTTTTATTAAAAAAAAACACTCCCATTTTTGAGGGGAAAATGTCACACTATACTCACACACATGAAAAAAACAGTAACAAACCTTGCCATTGCAGAGCATTCTATGTGCCAACCAGGGCGTCCAGGACCAAAGCGGGAGTCCCAACTGGGTTCTAAAGGTTTCACAGCTTTCCACAGAGCAAAATCTTTCCTGTTCTTCTTATTATCGGCAGAACCCACATCATCTTCCAACTCTGCGCATTCCTCGGTATTCAGCGGAACGAATTTGCCATAAGTGAATCCACTTGACTCGAAGGCTCTTGTGTCAAAATAAACGGATCCTGCGTTATATTCATTTCGATTAAGCAATGCCAATATTTTTTTTTCTTCCAAGAAAATAAACTTTTTGAATTCAGTGCTGAAAATTTAAAAGCTTCCGAAAAGTCGACCGACGACTTTTTTTTATTATGATTATCTGAAGCTTGTAAAAATATAGAAATTCGATCATTCCCTGAAAAAAGTTTTTGTCGACTTTGTCTTTCCTGGAAATGAAAGCCCTTAATTTTTCCAGAGAATCAGCAAACGCATTTATGATCGCATGAAATTGATGATTTTTATTACCGTATAATGAACAAAATTGGCTAACCTTTCCGTAAAGCTTATGCAAAGGTAGTCTTACCCATTCCAACTAGTTCATTATCAAAATCTATAATCATCAAGTTGCTAAAAACCGCATCAAAAGTGGAATCCAATTTTTATTATTTTCGTAATTTGATTTTTTTTAACAATTTTTGGGCATAAAATTGAAACATACGTTGATGAAGCTTGTGCATGGAAATGTATCAATGAATATGAAAAAATATGTATCAGAATTTGCAAAAGATGGCACAACAAGATTTGTTTCATACTTGCAAAAATACTCATAAAGAAGGTCATATATTGAATGAAAAGTAAAAAATAAATTATATTTGGCAGTCAGTCATTGATTTTAAAAGGGAATACAGACAAATTCTGACAGGCAATTTGAGACAGAAACTTTTGGAGGCAGGAACAGTTTGAGACAGAAAGTTTTGGAGACTGGGACAATTGGAGACATGGACATTTTGAGAGAGGGACAATCTGAGACAGGAAAAATTTGAGACAGGAACAATTTGAGACAGAAACTTTTGGAGACAGGAACAATTTGAGAAAGAAACTTTTGGAGACTGGGACAATTGGAGACATGGACATTTAGAGAGAGGGACAACATGAGACAGGGACACTTTGAGACAGGGGCAATTTGAGACAGAAACTTTTGGAGACTAGGACAATTGGAGAAATGGACATCTAGAGAGAGAGGGACAATATGAGACAGGGACACTTTGAGACAGAAACTTTTGAAGACTTGGACAATTGGAGACATGGACAGCATTTAGAGAGAGGGGCAATTTGAGACAGGGACAATTTGAGACAGTCCCAAATTAACTCTGCGCACACGTTTTTTTCTTTTTCTTTTACACTTAATTTTCTGGGTTTCCCAAGATTATTTATGAATCTTAGGATATTTTATATTGGATAATTTTATACTCTTTTAAAAATTTAAATATTTGAAATATGCTTTGTTAGAGATATTCCATTTTAATACTTGTGTGCAACAGACTTTTCTTCCACACAAGGAATCACATACAGAAATTTGTGTAGTTTACCTCTCCCAATATTTAGAAAAATGTTGAAGGATATTCAGATGTTTTTATGTGTATTACAGTGCACTACTATGGATCAAGAGAGGAATGAAATCCAGGAAATGCTTCTGTCTCAAACAGTTTTTGTCTCAAAATTCTCTGTCTCAAATTGTCCTTGTCTCGAATCGGCCCTGTCTCCAATTGTCTCTCTCGATTTGTCCTAGATCCTTCTAAAAGACATTTTTCTTCAATGTGGATGGATTAGAATTGTTAAACCATTCACCAGATGAACTGCGATACGCCAGCTTCTTATCCATCAATGTCTGCACAAAACGCTGAATATTTTCTACATGCTCCGAAACTCTCACAATGCCGGAAGGACGTCGAACAAACAGAGCAGCCATGTCATCCATGAAACTGTCTTCATACTTTTTGGCCAATTCGGAAGGGGAAACATTCCTCTGGAACAAAAAAGCAGTTCACTTCATACCACTGTCCCCTTGAATGAAATACGTGATGAAACGATTTTTGTACACCTCTCGACTTCTTTTGATGATTTTATCATCGATGTCAGTCATCCCCAGAAGATAGACGCAGTTCAGGTCGAAGAAATCCGTCAGCACTCGACGAAGAATGTCCAGCTTCACGTAACAACTGGGCAGACAAACATAACGCAAATTATTTTCAACGACGAGAAAAAAATGTTCAGCATTTAAAATTACACAAAGGCGAAGAGACTGAGAAGCAAATTTTACATCTCCTGCTTAAATCGCACAAGCTGGGTGAAAATCGGCGTGAGTTTGCGCCAGAATTGCCCAGAGAAGGAATTCGCAAAAAATAGGCTTTGAATTCGCCTGCCAAAAATGATTCATGGATACTAGGGTTGCCATTTTTGTTTTTGAAAAATACGATGGAACCTCTGGAACCCCAGATATATTTCATACCAGTTCCAAAAATTTTTTTGGAAAATTGCTCTCAAGCAGAAGGCACAAACATACTTTTCTAATCCTCTAGAAAAAAGGCTGAAAATCCATTAAAACAAAAATTGGAAAAACTCATGAGAAAAACAGCAATTGTCAACATTCTAACATCACAAGCAGCAGCAAGGGAAAATAAAACTAACTCACATCCATAAAAAAACATTCACAAAAATTAAAGTGAGACTTTATAATCAGGACAAGGTGCATTTGTCAGGATAAATTCAAAATGTTGTTATCCTAAACTGCCAAAGAGGGACCAAATTAAATTATTAATGTATCAAACTTCCTCTTTGCTTCTAATCTTTCACTTCACTTCAGTGTTTGCTCATTAGGATAACTCATGTTGTAAAATATTGAACTTTATGGCTGAGGTGACACAAATGAATCTACTTCTCTGTTGCTGAGGTAAGAGTGTGATTTTCATACAATCCCAGTTGAATCCATCAACAGCCTGAGTGGGGAGCTATTCTTTGTGTGACCCCATAACTGGTGAACACTGGGGTCAAAACTGGTGTACATGGGCTATTCTAGGGTTACAAACATGCACCTCTGTAGATTAAATTTTGCTACCATTCCAGGGCTTCATTTGGTGCACAAATGTGACATAACAGGATTATCACACAAATGCACCAACTGTAACCTTGGCGTAACTTATTTGTTACAAATGTGACCCTGAGTAATCCTGGTGTGAATGCACAATTGGTGCACATTGGGGATATGCATGTGCAGAAGAGAAACTTTGGTACACTTCAGGTGCACAGCAGGGTCACTGTGTGGAAATACATGCATATCCTAAGTGTGCACCATTTTCCCCACTTGGGAGAGTACACCAAACCAGCCATGAGTGCAGAAAGTGTTTGGACACTCTTTTATA